CCTCGCCGGACCTTAGGGTACCTCGAGCAGCGGCGGCGCTCGGCGGCCAGCGGGTTGCCTAACCCCGAGCCCGAGCCGCCCCTGCCGCTACCATACGACCCGACCCGCCCCTGCCGCTACCATACGACCCGACCCGATCCGACCCGATCCGACCCGATCCGACCCGATCCGACCCGATCCGACCCGATCCGACCCGATCCGACCCGATCCGACCCGATCCGACCCGACCTCCACCTCGTCTAATGCGCGATCGTTATTGTCTGTTGCAGTGAACGTGGTGGAGGCGCTGCAAGAGTTCTGGCAGATGAAGCAGGCGCGAGGAGCGGACCTGCGCAACGGCGCGCTCGTCATCTACGAGTCGGTGCCCTCCTCCTGCCAGCCCTACGTCTGCTACGTCACCCTGCCCGGCGGCTCCTGCTTCGGCAGCTTCCAGGTGAGTCTCAGCAGCCCCGGCAGCACCCCTCCATGCATCGCCATCTCGTCGCTCATCAGGTTGGCGGTCGAGTCATACAGTTGCAATTTGCGTTCAAATATTCGTTGAATTCGTCAGATTTGATAAAGTTGACCTCACAAATCGATGAGGTTCTTGTCTGTGAAGCCAATTTTCCGCATTCGCATTCGTGTTGCGGGACCGTCGTATTGGCTCGTGCCCCTGTGTTCTTTCACTCTCCCGATCACCCTCCTAAATATCGGACCCTACGGTGGTAACGGAGGGGTGGGGGCAGAGGGGGCTGGGAAAGGGGGGAAGGGAGGAGGGCAGAGTCTGCCCTGCCCGGGCAATTTAACGCCAAGTAATAACTTTTATGGGAATGCGACCTCACTGGTGCTGCGTCGGCCGTCCGCCGGTCAGCGTCCGGAGAGCAGCCAGTGCAGCCGAGCCTGGGTCGAGTCGACGCGCACCTCAATGGCCTCCGGCCCGGCTTCGTTTGGTCCGCCAAATCACTTTGACGCCGAACTGACACTAGAGGTTGTTTTCTCTCTTCCTCATCTCCGGCCAGCCGGACTCCCCTTTTGGCACCTTGTCTGACTCGCGGATGCGCTCTGGGGCTTGTTGCAGAACTGCCCCACCAAGGCCGAGGCGAGACGGAGCGCCGCCAAGATCGCGCTAATGAACTCGGTCTTCAACGAGCACCCCTCGAGGAGAATCTCGGACGACTTCATCGAGAAGGCGGTCGCCGACGCGAGAGCGTCGTTCAAGGTAAGAGAGCTGCAAAAGTCTTTGTGTGTTTATAGGGAGGCAAATGGCTGGCCTGCGCAGCTTTGCGCCAAAGTCGATGGTGGGCCAGCACCAGCTGAGCAGCAGCAGTTGAGCAGCAGCAGCAGCAGCTGAGCAGCAGCAGCAGCAGCCAGCTCGTCTAATGAAGCTCCCGTGTATGCCGTGCAATTGACCTGCGGGCCGGGCTGGCTAGAGCCGACCCGTCCTGTAGGATGACGCCGCGCCGCGCGCCAACTAACCAACGGCGAGGTGGCGGGGCGGGGTGCAGCGGGGCGGAGAAGGGCCCTTGTGCCGCTAGAACCCGTTCCTCCTCCTCCCCCTCCTTCCTCCCCCTCCTGCCTCGCACTACCGTCGTCACAGTAGCCTGGAATTATGTCTAATAGCGTAATGGCCAGGCGTTCGTTGTCTTTGGAATGCTCTCCGTCGATGCGTTGGTGGTGCAGTTGTACAACAGGCGGTTTAGTGTTGGCGGGAGGGCGCTCTGCACGACGACGTTGTTGGGTTGGCCGGGGGTAGCCGGGGGGCAGCGTGCGCCCTCCGGGCCCACATTTGCGCACATTCAGGCCGACGACGTCGAATCCTCGTAGGACCGGCAATCGCACGTTGCGTGGTACTTCCCCCTGCCGACGACCGTTTGGATAAAGTTTATGAAAAACAAACGGATGCAGAATTGTAGGTACCGTCACACGCTGATGCTCCTGCTGCTGCTGCTGCTGCTGCTGCTGCTGCTGCCACCCATCCCCGGCCAGTCCACTGCGGGAGTTTATTATCAATTCTACGCGACAGGCGAGTGAAGCATTGCTCGCCAGTTATATTGTTGCGCGTCCCCGTCACGGGTGAACCCTCGGCGGGGCCCCGGCGGGGCTCTCCTTCGGCTCCTCTCCAGCCCCGCCATTATCCGCGCAGCAAACCCGCGGCAGGAAGGCGCATCGCGTGAGGCCCAAGTGCGTCATAAACATGTAGAGGCGTAGTATTGTTCTCCCTTGGCCCCGCCCCGCCGCGCCAGCGCCGCGCCAGCCAGCTGCCAAAGGGCTGTGATCCTCGCGCCAACGGAGGGCTGAGCTGCTCAGGCGCTGCGGAGAGGAGGAGGCGGACGTCGAGCACCGACTCCCATGACGTCGAGCTCACGCGGGTCTTTCTTGTTGACAGGGCGACCCGCTGGAGGCGGACAACCCCAACACGGGCATCGGCGCCTTCCGCTTCATGCTGGAGAGCAACAAGGGCCGCACCATGCTCGAGTTCCAGGAGCTCATGACCGTCTTCCAGCTGCTCCACTGGAACGGCTCCCTCAAGGCGATGCGCGAGCGGCAGTGCAGCCGACAGGAGGTGGTGGCGCACTACTCAAACAGGTCAGTTTTTCTTTCCCTCTCTTTCTTTTACTTTGGTTCCCTTCCTTTTTATTTTCTCTTAATCGTCTAAGCCCGCGTGAGCCTGGACTGACAGGTCCCGGGCGGGGCGGGGCGGGGGTATGATACACTGTTTGTGACCGCGGCCATGCGTTGCAGGGCCCTGGACGACGACATGCGCTCGCAGATGGCGCTCGACTGGATCGCCCGGGAGCAGGAGCAGACCGGCGCGCTGGGCAAGGAGCTCGGCCTGGCGGAGCGGGAGCTGGAGGCGGCGCGCCTGGCCGGCCGGGAGCTGCGCTTCCCCAAGGAGAAGAAGGACATCCTCATGCTGGCCCACACGCAGCTCAGCGGCTCTCTCTCGAGCTAGTGCTGCATTTGTTGTGTTTTTGTTTTTTTAGATGTTTTTGTCTGTCTCTGTGTCTGTGCGTGTGCGCCCGCGTGCGTGTCTGTGTCGGTGCTGTAAGTCCGCTCCCCCTCTTCGCACTATAAGCCAACTGACTGAGCGTGCAGACTTGTCCAAGTGTTTTACACACAAAATGATTGGAGAAGCGCGTCGTAGAATCGACTAATTTTTGATTTTCTAGTTACCTTCGTGACAGGGTGTAACCCTTTCGAAACAATATTTTCGTAATATTCTTTACCGTGCTGATTGTATGCAGTGTGAGGGGAGACGGCAAAGCATTCTACTCTTGGCTGTGTTATTTCGTCGCCCAAGCGGCATATTTTGTACAGCATATTTAATTTTTGTTTTACTGTTGATTTAATATTTATCTTAATGTTTCTGTTTGCCAGTGATTTTCCAATCAGTCTAGTGATATGAAAATGATGGTGCGTTTTCCAAACCACCGAGGTCTTCCCCTCATGGGTTCCGGCCTTGTAATGTGAGGGAAAGCACACACTTTTGCACACCTAACCCGTGCCAGCATTAGAAATGTGATAAGTCTTCATGTAGTTTTAACATGTTTGACTACAATAGAAAATAGTTGACTGTATAGCTTTTGTATAGATATTTTTTTGTATAAGTGTATATAACAGCTTCAATCATATCGATTGAATAACTTGTAAATGCACCTGGGAGAGTATACATGACACAACTGAACTGAATTTTGTTCCAAGAAACAAGAGACACTACATATCAGGAGGTGAAATCATTGTAACGTTATTATTTCGATGTTGCCATCACCAGTTCTCCTTTTGACACGTGTACTACTTTTGCTCAAAAAGTCATAAGGGAAACGAAGCCATTGAGTAACAAACGCCATCCTTCGATTCGTCATTGTGTAGTACAAGATGTTTCTTTTTGTTTTTTTTATGCCTGAACGAATGAGAAATTTTGTGTGCTAATGATCTCATAGAATGACATTTGATTTATCGAATTGTGTCATGTATTGCCTTTGTTTCGAATATAACAATATGACTCCACGTACGTCTGAGCATTTGTTTCTCCCAGTGCCGGTCATGCGCCCCGGGCCTCGCCTCGGCTGCAGGCTGCAGGCTGCAGCCAGTGCGGTGGCCAATTCGCAAAGTAGAGCACGCCAAAAAGTCCCGCCCGGCCAGCCGTCGTTCTTGGAAAAGGGCCGTCCAGGCCGCGGGCAGGGCACAACTAAGGGAAAGAAAGAGAAATAAGAAAATTAAAGAGATGAGAGAGAGAGGGGGGGGGAGGGGGGTAAGGGGAAAAAAAGGAGACAGGGACATCGACAGTCGAGACCGGAACGGCAAGCAGTACGAAAGGAGCAGCAGCAGCCGCTGCAGACGCTCATGAAAAATTTATGGTATGTTTTGACAAACGAAGGCAGGCGGGCGGAGAGCCGCCAAATCAGCCCAGCAGTCGGGCTGCGCATCAAGCCATGATCATGCTCTGCAGGTCGTCCGGGGAGGCGGATGCAGCCCAGCCTCACACAATCAGGGAGTAAACTCGGCGACGCCGTGCCAACGCCTCGTCTGCTCCGCTGCAACAGTGCTTCAAAAAGCACGCCGGGAGTGCGGGCGAAACGACGAGGAGGTGGAACATTGTAAGCCAAGACCCCGTGCAGAAAAAAAGGCAAGAGCCGTCGTAAAAAATTACCTCTTGCCGGGAAAATATAAAAACGTGAATGTCCAAATCTTCGAGCCCCATTGCATATCGACTTATTTAGCTTATTTAGTTGCAGAGGATTCGTCTGACCGACTCAAACCACCCGGAACGATTTCTCCGTTCGCCTCCTTCCTCCCCCCCC